TTTGATGTTTTGTAAACACTTAATTTACTTTCAAGTTACATTCAACTAAATTGACCATAATTGTCTTTAACTCTAAACCTGCCTCTAATCCTAACCCTAACCTTAACCTCAACCCAAAGCCTAAACCCAACCTGACCCCAGTCCAAATCCTAAAACCCAACTCCACCACTGTTCAGAATCAACTGAGTTTCAGCAAATAGTTCTTTAACAGTTTGGACATCTGTGGATGATCTATAGGGGACTAAAGTGGACTATGATCTATAGGGGACTAAAGTGGACTATGATCTAAAGGGGACTAAAGTGGACTATGATCTATAGGGGACTAAAGTGGACTATGATCTATAGGGGACTAAAGTGGACTATGATCTAAAGGGGACTAAAGTGGACTATGATCTATAGGGGACTAAAGTGGACTATGATCTATAGGGGACTAAAGTGGACTATGATCTATATGGGACTATATTGGATTATCCTTCTTCTGTAAAGTTACCATGTTTTGTTCTGATAGTGATGAAATGTAGTTCCTTATGTAATCCACTATTATCTAATTATCTAATTATGCAATTAAATGTAAACAGTACAGTGAAACAGCTTCACAACTGCTCTGAAAGTGAACTTCTTTTGCCAGCTGTGCCTCTGAATGCAGTGATTACTGATTTATCATCAGAGCGCTACTGAGCTACGAGTAACCTTAAATGAGTTCCATGAGTCAGCGAAAACATGGGAGAGAGAGCGAGCGAGCAAGACAGAGAGAGAGTAAAAACACTTTCCCACAAAGCCCCAGTGTTTCCGATCACGCTATAGTGCTCCAAACACACCCGTCAGGAGTGTGACATGTCTAATGCCTGATGAATTATTCACATCGCTGTGTTTGCCAAGTTGCCTGAAGTTACTCACTGCTAGGAAACCAAAGAGGAAGAAAGTTTTGGTTTTGCCCAAAAGACACTTCAGAGACGATACTAGAGCACGACGCTAACCTGAGAGCAACAACATCTTTTCAGGAATAAAGATCCAGTCATTAGTACTGTGTTTAGGATGGTTTAGCTTTTGGGCTGCTCTGGTTTTATAAGCTTCGTCGTTCAATATGTCCAAGACCTACTTTGAGAGGAAGGGGCCGTTTGACATGCAAACCAGACTCTCACAAGCTATTGCTTCTTGAGGACATGCAGAGGCAGGAGATCGTCCAAATAGTTCTACAACAAAAACAAACCCGGGTGAAACACTGTGGTATAACCATCAGCAAACATATGGATATCCATTTACCAGCTACTTCAATTGGGATGCTGCGAACTTCACAAACTTTTTTCCAATCCAGCATCTTCAAGCATTGACAGCTGTAGGGGTTGCTATGGCAACTTCATGTCCCTGGTCATATTAAGCATGATTTATCACATCATGGTATATTAATATAACATATATTAATATGAAATCATGTGATGAACAGGAATAAACGAGAAAACAAGATCAATAAAATGTTCCAGTCGTGCTTCACCCCCTCCCCGCCTCGTGCTGGGACTTTCTTGGAGATGAAGCGTGAGATTACAGCTAAACGCTAAGCGTTAATGTGCCGGGCAGCAGCATCGCTGATAGTGAGTTTAAAAAGGCAAAAGCTGGTGAAATCAGCAGAGCAGACTGCAGCAGAACTCTCAGTGGAAGGTTTTTCAAACTGGGACACAAAAGAAGGAAATTTACTGTCTCTTTTTGCTCAGAACACTGCAGGTTCCTGTAAATCTGCATTGTGGAGGATTTTTGGATGAATCTGTGCTCCTAACTGCCAATTTAAACCTACAACCATAAGTCACTGTCATCACTAGCAATAACAGAAGCATGTAGTAACATATTAAGCATGATTCATCACATCATGTCATACTTATATAATATATATTTCAGACAAAATTCTTGTTTTCCATCCGTTCCATCAAAATGTAATGATTTTTGCCCCGACTCTAAAACATCCTCTGATTTTCGATAGGTGAGACCCCTACCTATCACAGAGAGCAAATACTCAGCTAGCTCAGAGACCCTCCCTGACACCATGTTTCACTCACAAATACATCACAGTACAGAAGGAGGATGTGCTATGATTTCCAATTTACATTGACTTTAATGCTGTAATTACGGATACAGAAAATAACAGAAAAGTTACTGGGATATCAAAGTCGTACTGTGATCATTTTTACTACTGTCGTCTCTCTTATAGATACGAGTTGATGAGATATTTTCAGAAAATGGGAAAGTCGATTGAATTAATCAGTGATGGCGAAAATTTGGTTCCGTAGTCATTGAAGGAGAACTGCTGCTATCTAGTGTGAAATCCACATTGAAAACACAATAAAAGATAAAATCAACTCATTCAAACCTCACATTTTAGCGACTTGTGTTTGCCAAAGGACAGCAGGCTGCAGGTCAGATTCCCATGTGTGCGAAACATAAGCTGGTGTCTACAACTGTGCCTTGTTCACTATTTAGGGGTTTCACCATTTGTAGTGGTGTCATAGTGCAGAAGATCCAGTGCACTCAAACAATCCCACACTGTACCACAGTAAGTTATGTACAACCTTGGTGGACAAGGGGATACCCATAATGCATTGCATTATTTGGTTTGAAGATTCACGCACAGCTTCTCAGAGGAGGATTAGCAAGTCCAGCTACAGCTCCGCTTCCAGAGAAGTTGAGATGCTGTGCAAAATATAAATAAAAACAGAATGCAGTGATGTGCAAATCACACACTTTGTCTAAGCTGCTTATCCGTCTGGGTTGCAGGGGGAGCTGGAGCCTGTCCCAGCGGTCACTGGGCGGAAGGCAGGATACACCCTGGACAGGTTGCCCAGTCTATCACAGGGCAGACAGACAAATACATTCAAACACACACACACACTCACACCTAGGGGCAATTTGGCATGTCCAATTGGCCTGACTGCATGTCTTTGGACTGTGGGAGGAAACCGACACAGACACAGGGAGAACACTTCCCCGGCCGGGGAATCGAACCCAGGCCCTTCTTGCTGTGAGGTGACAGCGCTACCACGTGCCATCATACCACCCCATGTGCAAATCCCATATCTAATTGAAACCAGTACAAAGACGACATATCAAATGTTAAAGCTGAGAAATGTCACATGTTGCTGGCATCAGATTCAAAATGGGCATAATTTTTCAAAAAACTATTTCTCAGTTTTAACATTTGATCTGTCGTCTTTGTGCTATTTTCAATTAAATATAGGGTTTAAATGATTTGCACATCCTTACAATTTTTGCCCAGCGTCCCAACTTTTTGGAAACGGGGTTGTACAACAGCAGCGTCTGCACAGAGCTCTCTTCAGGTGTAAGTCAGCTCTTCTCATGTGTCCAGTCAAACTCAGTGCTTATAGTGAACTGAATGCGTTTATGTGTCGGAATCCCGTTCATCGCACAAACCCATGTCTGAAATTGTTTACTACCATCAAGAATTTGATTCCCTATAACAGTGCTCGGTAAAGTAATCTAGATGTTCAAATATAGGTTTAGTGACCATTTCAGACAAGGCAGCAGTCGTTTTCCCAGCAACCCTGCTGCTGACGTAGCTTAATATCTTAATATCTCTCACTGATAGACTCGTCGTCGTTGCGATGTGCAGAGCAGGAAATTGCGGTTAGTAGTTTCTTTCCTGACGGACGTGAAGGTCCAGCTGTGATAGCTAGAGGGCAACTGATGAAATTCAGATAGTTGTGGCCTTCAAAGGATCCAATAATAACAGTGGGCGGAGCTTCTGAAGCTGAGAGCAAGGCTGTAAATGGATTTCTTGTTCATTTTTGCGAGCCATCGTTGACCTGAGGATTCGAGAATAGTTTAATTTTGCTTTCCAGACACAATCCTGATCCCGAACATCTCTTAAACATATTAAAACACTACATAACAATACTAAAGGGTATAATAGGAGTGCTAAAGGAGTCTAAGTAGAAGCATTTTCAGATTCAGTGTGTGTTTATAGACCTGCACATGCAGCCCATGTGTTTATAAGAGTAATGAGCGGTTAATGACGTGTGAAGCAGTTTTTCAGGGGACGGATCTGATTGGGCCGATTCATACAGCAATATCGTCGTCCTATACATGATTTTTGTCACTGTGACGCGAGTGTTCTCCTATGAAACTCGATCTAGCTGCTTTTCTACCTTTGTCTCGAAGTCCGAAGTCATTTTTATCACAAATCCAAAAAAAAAAATAAAAATAACGAAACAGAAATAATCATAAAAGTAAATGAAAGGAATGAGATGAGAATCATTCAAATCAATTAAACGACATACATTCCGACGACCGGATGGAAAAATAAAAACATTAAAATATTATCAAAATATTTATAGAATCCACTCACTGTAACAGCACGCCAAGGAACTAAAATCATCTAAATAGGAAAATGAAATAAGTTACTATACCGTAGTTTGTAACACAGAAATTTACATTATATACATTCACTTTTTTTTGTTTTGTTTTGTTTAAATAAGCTCCTTTGCTTTGATTGGTGGTTCCGTCGCTCCATCATGAAGTTCCTCGATTAGCTAAAAAGCTCCTTAGGAATTAAAAGCCCTGTTTGGACGTTCCTCTGCGGTCAGAGAGAAGATAAGAGCCAACTCGAAACGCAGTAAGGCTTTTTTTCTGCAAAACCATCTGAGCTGGCGACAGTAAGCAGTTATCTCCAAAAGGTGAAGGAACATGGCAGACATCCGCACTTCAAAAAAAAAAGGAAAAAAATAAATAAAAATATATTATATATTTATATATATATATATATATATATAGTTATAAAATGAAAAAAAAGGTAAGCACGGGAGATTTCAATCTTCTGTCAAGCTGTCAGGAAACTGAAAGGGAACGAAAAGATTCCAGTTTTGTATTTTTTTTCCTTTTTCTGGTTGTTTTTAAAGATTTTTTTGTTATTTTTTCTTTCTTCTTTTGTGAATTTAGAAGTATGCTATGAAAAAAAGGAAAAAAAAATTCCAAAGACTTCTCCTCCTCTTCATACA